ATCGAAAAATTGCCCATCTCTAGTGCATTCTCATCCCAAGGCCCGACGCCCATCCCTAGATCTGATGCCTAGCAACAGGCCTGCCAACAGAATGAAAAGCGAAAGGCAGTCGACGTGCGACTGTGTTTCAGCGGCAGGCCTCACTTCCCGTTTGGGCGTCATGGAGACAAGTTCTCCTCCATTTATTTTGACTTACTATTTCTTAATAAATACAATTTTTATTTAACATTTAAATAGTCTTGAGTGATAAATAATAATATAATTTTAAAGAATATACTAAAAGAATTTTAATTTGAATTCTTGTTCAGGTTGAGCTTGGGCTGGTTGTTCCTCCTAGCCCAGGGGTGCCTCTTGGCGCTGTTGTTGCCTGCTGGAATTTGGCTCTTTTGAAATACTGAGATTGCTCCACAGCTGAATGCCCGTCTGCTGTGCTGCTAAACTTGTGACTCGAATGGGGCAAATGGATCATGTATAATCATCTCTTGGGGAAGAGAAGTACGCACAGAACCTGCAAGTACGTACACGTGCACAGCAACCGATTTTCGTGGAGCCTGCGACTCCGCCAGAAAAACTGTACCCGGCGGTAGTTTAAGGGCAAAATTATGCTGCTTTGTTCCGTTTGCAAAGTGTTGTCAAAGCGGCTCAGAAAATATAAATAATATAATTGACCAGTAAAAGTTTTTTTTTTATTTATTTATTTGTAAAACTAGGACTTTATGGATTTTATGGTTTTGTTAGGTTTCGTATAATCTTTAAGCAATTACATCAAACCATTTTTCAGCCGCTGATGGTCCCTCCATTCCTTCAATGATAAACAACCCATTAAAAGCCCTGTCTTCGGCATCGCTTGATGAAGCACAAGGAAGTGTTCGCTTCTGGAACTGCTGCTGCACAGCTGAACTTATTGACTTTTCCATGGGTCCCTCCAAACTTTTTTTAATAAAATTCAGGTAGCCATTGTTAGCCTTTCGTTTTGTGTGTGTTTCTGTTTTGGGTACTAGTTTTTTGGCCATATTTTATCCAAAACAGAACGCAGGCTAATACTTTCCACTCGTCGCGGAGAGAACAGCTCAAACCCATTTGTAATACCTTTACTATGAATAACTGGAATAGCTGCTGTGCTGCTAAATTTATAGAACCTTTTCTGCATTGGCGCTGGCATTTCAGTGTTGAGTGTCTCGATTTTAAATGGATTTACATCGCTTTCATTGGATTGCGAGGATAAGCCTTTGATTTGACGGCAGGGTCTCGGGTCTGAGTAATCAGGCGTCTCGAAAGTGGACTCATGCTCATATCCAAGGGAACCGGTGGTGGTAATACAAACCATCGGCATAGGGCACCATTAATTTTACCCCTCAAAAACTCGCTCTGGAACATGGGCCAGCGAACGGTTAACTGTGAAATTGTCAAGAAAATGCGTGTTTAAGCCAGATTAAATGCATTTCATTGTTGATTTATTGAGCCACAGCCACTAGCCACCATGTCAGCCCTTGCCCCCATGTTTTCCCCTCCCCACACACTCTGCCCCAAAAGGTCCACTCCACTGATTCCCCCCCCTGATTCGAATACGAATTCGTTTCGCTCCTATTGTTAACTCCAATTATTTATGGGTAAAAAATGAACGACATGAACAAGTCAAGAAAGGCAGGCTATCAAATTTCAATGATGCCTTCAAAGTTGACCCCCGCAGCATGTTGCAAGGCTGCGCCACAATGGTGAATTTCTCTTGCCACATGTTGTGGCAGATTTGTACACATGGATCCAACCATTAGGGAACTTTAAAATGTATTGTCAACGACAATACAAAAACAGAAAAATATGCAGTGATGCTTCGTGGAAATCCCTCCCAAAGCATTCCGTAGAATTGCCCCAGCAACATAGTTTTTTTTCTTTTTTTTCCTTGGGCCGACATGTGCCCGAAAAGTAACGGCCTCGCCAAGCCCTTCTTGTTGTTGGAGCGACTGAGCGACTTCACGAGCAGTCAAAGACGAATAAACAAGAGGTAAAATTACAATTATGCGCCCTCTGTCCACGGGGGCGTTATTTATTCCTGATCATTCAACATTTATAAAAACAATGCAATTTAATTGCATATCTATTTTTTATGCAGCGATAAACAAAAGATGCAAAGCAAAAAAACATCCTGAATATAATTAGAAGATTATAATTATTATTATTATTATCAGATTTAGCCTGAAAGAAGCTAAAAGTGCCAAAGCTACTACTTATATGCTACAAATGGCAGAATATGCTGAAAGAAGCTAAATTGGGCATCACTGACCTTAATGTCAGTGCGAGTGAGCGGCAACACATATTTATTTGTATGTATGCGTGTTTGTATCCGTAAACAGTTTATGCAAAATTATTTGAGTTTAAATTCAATTATAAAATATATTATGTCGGAGAGTCGGTTCCCTTAGACAGTAAATTCTAGCGCTGTCGCTTCTCTCTCCAATAGGCTGTTCAGACTGGGTCATGCTTCTTTGCGAGTTTTTCTTTCCCTCCCTCTCCATTGGTCATCTTTACCCCCTTCTTATGCTCGTTGGTGAGGTTTCCTCGCTTCTTGCACAAGTAGCACAAAAATTGATAGCGGTTAATATTAGATAGATGTTTGGCCATTTCGTCTTCGCGGCTGTCGTCATCGCTGTTGTCGTCTTCGCTGGTGACGGCACCGCTGGCGAATACTGTAACTGTTCCATCTTTCCTTGTTCCTGGAGTGACCTCAACAGTGGCTGCTGTGATTGCGCAGACCACTGGTTGATTTCATTGGACCACATGGTTAGCTGTTCCCGAAGCCAAAACCAAAGTATTCATTAAACCCAATGATCAAATATATCCTTGATCATATATACATCATCCCAATTCAATCCATTCTCCTTCACTTTTTGCACTTCCACTTCGGCCCATGAGCCCCTCTTGTTCCAATCGAAAGATTGGAGGAATAAAACAGGCGAGCAACAGCCAAAGTTAGTTCTCTGCCGCTGCGGCAGCCGAGCCGATCTACACGCAGCTTGTACGCTGTACGTGTGCCGATTGCGCTGCCCGAGATTTTGTCGGCCTCTGCTCTAGAGGCTGCTGCAATCAATAATGTTGCATTTTGTCCCTCCTGCTCCTGCTACACCTTGCACTGGCTTGCGGCAAAAACTACAATACATCATTTTTGTTGTGCACAAGGCTTATGGCTTCCGAAAAAAATTTGGCCGCACGCAACCTTTCTGTTCAACAAGCGAGCACGCATTGAACGTTAAAGGACCAAAAACCGAACGATTCGGCAGCCGACGGGACCACCTTATACATATAATAATATATAACTGCATCATGAAATCATCCATTTGATTGAGTCGTGGGATGGGATGTGTGGGTGTGGGGCCCCAGCAATATTCCGTAGGATCGTCTTTAATTCAATGACAAATCATGTGTAGCATCCCAATGTCAATCTTATATTTTTTTTATTCCTAAACCAATTTGAGCCCAGGCCAAACGGGTTTATTCGCATTGCAGCATGTTGCCAAGGCAGCTGAATGGTGAGTTTCTCTTGCCACATGTTGCCAGCAGGCTGCTGGGGTCTGGTCGGCAGGGGGGACGGGGGATGGACGGAACCTGACTGTCTGCGAGTGCTGCCAAAGGAATTGGCTTTGGCGATCGAGTGGGCGCCGCGTTGCAATACCTTCTCTTTCTTGTTGTTTTATTTGCTTTTCGGTTCGGCAGGGCCTGGGGCAGGGCGTGTCCCTCAGGTGGGCGCGCAGTCGATATCGCAAAAAAGTAATTAAAGGCAAGCGTGGCAGGAATGGAAACCTCCACCGCCGCTGCCACCGCCGCCACGATGATGATGATGATGATGCTAAATGCTGATGCCAGTCGCAGTTAAACGTTGCACATTGCCACGCCTACCGCCCAGCACTTGGCTGTCAAGTGCAATACGTGCCACATGCGGTCAACGAAAAAAGGCAAAAAGGCAACAACAAGAAAATGGCAAATGAAGTGGGGCTGCGGTAATGCAACGAACAGAGAGATGCTCTTTCCATTTGCAAATGGCTGAAAACTGTGCAGGGGAAGTAATAAAAGTAGTAGATATAAACCCGATATAATCCGCAACACTTCGACATCCATTAGGTGTGTGTGTGTTTTAGCCTTTACAAGTCTGCCTGCGAATGCCTGCCTGCCGCACATTAGCCTGAACCACATAGGATGCCACCGAACTTATCAGAGAGTGGATACACTCTCTCTCTATCTCTGTCTCTCTCTGTCCATGTGGCAGCCACCAAAAAGAACAACAATAACGACAACAGAATGCATCCGTTTTGTGCAACCGAAACGACAATTATCAGCGACATGAGCAAACCAATTGTTCAGTGGCCCGCTTGTGCCAGGGGTACTCCATTTTCCATTGTCCATGGCGACAGGGTTATCCTTTGTCAGTGCCTGTGTGTGTGTGTGTGTGTGTCCGTGCAGGAAGAGAGCGATAGATAGGCCTGGAGCCAGGACTCGGACCGGACTCCATTGACCGCACCATCTACACACTCCACTCCAGAGTCCACTCCAGAGCGGGTTCATTTGTGTGTGTAATTGTTTGCCAGGCTACACTGATTACGGTGTTCAATAATAGTCGAAATTCACGGCATCCATGTCCGGGTCACGCCCTCTGGTTATACATACACCCCCATACCCCTTTCAAGCCCTTCCTGCCCTTCCTGCCCTTCCTGTCCTTCCTGCCTTCGGTGTTTCGGCTGTTTCCTTTGGTGTTGGCTATTTTTTTTTTTTATTGGGGACATTGTTAAATTTATTCAATACTTCTACACGGTCCTTAGAGCTAAACAGAAAAAAAAATTGTAAATATATATATGTATATGTATGTATATGTATATATATGTATGTATATGTATATGTATATGCATATAGTCATAATAGCAAAGTGGAAAATTATAATTACAGTGAACACAAAAATATGCAAATACTTCAAAAAGCTTAAAAATAATTTACAAAAAATAATAATAATAATAATAAAGTACGGTTAGAGCGGGGGGGGGGGGGGGCATGCAGGAGAGAACAGCAGAGCCAGCAGCGTATGGAAATTGTCTTCGTGGGAGCTTTGATCGAAAAAGATGCACTAGAAACTCTGGAAACGTAACTCCAATCGATTGATCTCCCTGTATGCATTCCCACAGCAGAATATGTATATGTACAATAGGACAAACAAAAGGATAATACGCATATGTTACACAGACAAATACCCAACCAATCGTAGCCCTAGGCCTCCTTGGCCTTGCCCTGCTCCTCAGGCACATAGGCCTGATTCTCAATGCCCAGAATAGGCGGCGATGGAACTGGAACTGAAGCTGGAACTGAAGCTGGAGCGGATGTTTCGAGGGATTCGTGTATCACATTGGAAATGATGCCATTCATTTGACCCTTGGCCTCGCTGGCCAGGGCCAGAGCCTCAATGGTGTTGATGTTGCCATTGGGATCCTTGATCGATGCCCGTTCCGCATCGGTGCGCGCCAGCTGGCGACGTTGCTGCACCTGGAAGCGGTACATCCAACTGGACGTATGGATGGGGCGACAAAAAAGGGAGAATAAAATTGATCAGATCAGGGTTAACTGGCTGGATCGGATGATGGTGGGCACTTACAGAAAGATGACAACGGAGAACATGGTTAGGCCACCGCCAAGCAGAAAGAAGGCGCCCGGCAGCACCCTCAGTGTGGCCGCGTACAGTGTCGTGTACATCGGTGCAAATACCATGGGCATTAGGGCCTCGGCGACACCAAACAGCGAGTTAACCTTGCCCAGTTCGTCCTTGGAGACCAGCTTGGTGGCTATCGAGCGCATGGCAATGAAGGCGGTGCCATTGAAGATCTCCACCAGTCCGCCCAGATACATGTGCCACGGCACCGTGGCAAAGGCATAGACAAAGCCGGACAGGATCTTCGAGGTGCTGGACAGAACGCCCACGAGGGCATCGTCAATGCCCAGCTTGTGCGAGAGAATGCCCACGCAGAAGATGACACCGATGAGGCCCGTGAACATGGCATAGGTGGAGAAGAAGCTGAACTCCACCTCCGACCAGTTGAAGCGGAATCTGGTGAACAGATACGTCACAGCCATCTCGCCATGCAGCGGACCAATGATCACCATCACAACGATCATCAGCAGAATGACGCGTTTGCGTCGCTGATTCTCGCCCTTCTTGAACGCCACACGGAACGTCTGCACCACATGCTCCTTGTCAAAGAAATCGGCCAGCAGGCTCTTTTGCGTGGGACTCTTCTCGGGCCGGGCCGTCGGCTCCTCCAGAAAGAAGAAGCCATAGACAAAGGCCACCACATAGAAGAAGGCCGAGATGGAGAAGACGCCATAGAAACCGATTTGCCTGCCACAAAATATAAATGAATTAATTAAAAATGCCAATTGTATGGTGGGCTGGTCACCACCACTCACTTGAGTAGCACCCCACTGAAGGCCATGCCAATGGGCACACCCACAGAGAAGCAAACGTTGAGTATGCCAATCCTTAGAGTGCGCTCCTCCTCGGTGGTGATGTCCGCAATGTAACTGAAAACGCCCATCAGCATGGTGAACCAGCCCCCACTCAGGGATGGAAAGATGGCCTCCGTGAGGGCGGCCACCTCCATGGGTGTATCCTCAAAGTAAACGCACAGCATCAGACCGACAACGCCCAGAAATTCACCCACCACTGGTATGAGCATGCAGGGCTTGCGACGTCGATGACGATCACTCCACGAGCCCCAAAACAGGATCAACAGGCAGGGGAATAGCGATTGGATCACTGTCTTCCAGGCGGCCATTCTAGCCACCATCTGCTGCACCGTTTCCTCTTCCCTGAAAGCAGATATAAATGGCGCATTAAATGCCTGTCTATAGGGGCAAAACTCATCCCTTCTAGCCCATTCTTACATGGTATAATTGGCCGTTTGGCGGCGTGTTAGAGCATCGCACACCACATCCCCGTAGGCCATATTCACGCGACATGCCTTCTCCAGATTGAGATTCTGTGTGGCCAAATTGGACAGCACGCTGGGCATAATGTATGCCGCCAGTATGGGCTCCACGGTGATATTATTCGATATCAGGCGAAACTTTTCGCGCCATGTTCGCTTCACATCTGCCGTGGTCCCAGTCGTCCCAGTCCCAGTCCCAGTTGCAGTCGCTTTTGGTGTCATCTTCACGGGGCACGCGGCGGCGGCTGAGGCCTGTTCCGGCTGTGTGGGCTGTGTGGGTTGGGCTGCAGCCGCTGGCGAGGATGGTGGCGAATCACTGACAGTATATTTGGCATCGTCCAGGCTACCGTCTTTGGGCGACATGCTGCTGGTTGATGATCTCTAAGGGCACACAAATGGCAGAGCAGGCATATTGTTATTATATCTTTGTTTGCGTCTCCAAATAGAATAGAATAACCTTTCAATGTCTAAGAATAAATTGAAAATAATACGAATTATGCTAACCAGCTAAACATAAGCAACATAATCCATTAATACGCTACAGTTGCCTCGTGTTTTAAATTATTATTAATTATTTCAATCGAATTAACATTGACTTTTTTTAGGCAATAAATTATTTAATTTTGTTAAGAATTTTGCTTGCTTTTTGCCACTTTTCCAGGGTATGCGTGGCAGGCGACACTCACCAAAGTTTTGCATGGCTTTTGTGTGTGTGTGTGTGTGTGTGTGTGTGTGTGCCTTTGATTGGATCGTTTTGTCGTGATGAATACTACCAGTACAGTACTCTTACTGTATCATCATTTCGTTTTCATTCACCTTTTATTCGGTTACTGTTTGTTGTTGCCGCCCCCTCGCCACTCCCCCCTCGTGCGTTCGGCGTTCGGCAACAATCAAAATGCGACCTCTGAGTTCTTGGGTACACGCACGCATGGGTATCGTTTGTTATCGCAGGTCTCCCACTCTCTCACTCTCTCACTCTCTCTCTCTCTGTTACTCGTTATCACTCCTCGCAGCACCCCGTGTGGGGTGGTGTGGGGTTTTCCCACTCCGTTCTGCTCGCAGCATCCGCTTTGACACACGCTAATGATGCCTGTTGCCGCTCCATCGTCATTACTGAATATCAATTGTACGATATGTAGTGGAAAACTACTGATCAGGCAGCCGCTGCTGCCGCTGTGTCTCGTGTGTATCTTGATAATCGAATTTTGAAATGTAATTAGTGAAACTCCCACTCTCTCTCTCTCTCTCTGTCTCTCGCAGAGATAACTCTCGTTACCCGCTGAGTTCTTTGGGCTGCTTCGGCGACTTTGGAAATTCCATTTTTTTACATTCCCAATTTTTTTTTTTTTGATATCGCATTTAATTGTTTTTTCAAGTGCATTCGACGAAAGTGTTTACACAATTGTTGCGGCAGGCAGCTTTGGCTTTCCCCTCCTCCGTTTTTTGCTGTACAAAAACCCATTACCAATCAGTCAATCAGTCAATCACGTTTAAACAGCGCATTAACCCTTTATTAGGGCTCATTTTGTTTGTTTGCTGAGTTTTAAAGATAATTTGGCACTGTAATTGCTAGAATTGTTATTTTAACTTAAGGCAAATACTTTCTGTGCAAATTACTCTCTCTGGAATGGAATTTTTAGATCTAGAAATACTTTTGCTTCTGCCACTCAAATTGGGCACAGATTGCAGTCATTGGCTTGGCCAAGCAGACGCCACTTTGGGCTTTAAAAGTGCACTAGATAAGAGGGTATTTTCATTATTTTAGGTATTTTTATGTTGCATACCAGAACTGGAAACATTCAGCACATATTTGCCACCCATTAAGCTGATTTTTCCCCAGTTTTTTGTCTGCCAGAACCCATAGCCTACCCACTGGTTGTGGTCCCTAATAATATTCTCTATCCCACAGCATAGTTCTTCGAATGTTTTGTATACAATTTCCTATCATTAAGAGACTTCTCCTCCATCTGCATTTAGTAGCAACAATTTTTATGGCGGCTCTCCCTCTCTGTTTGTCTGTGCAAAATGTAAGTCCCATTGGCAATGGCTTTAATTTAATCAGCAAGTACTCGTACTCTGAAAATTACCCAAAACTTAGTCAAAAGCTAATTGACCTTGACACACCACACACACACACACATGCACCCCTATATACATATAGAGAGAGAGTGAGGGGGTCTAGCGACCCATAAAGTGCATCACTGAGCGTTTTAATCTTCAACTTCCGTCTAGCGATGACGCAGTCTTTGTATTTGGTAATTTGATCTACAGTAGTACCTGCCAAAGAGCGACAGTACAGCGGCAGTACAAGTACAATCAACATTCAAAGATCTCTTGACTGTGGCGTCACTGTATTTCGACTCGTACATACATATGTATGGCAGATGGATATATGGTTCATTATCTCAGGGCATTGTGCAGGTCACCACAACTGGCAAATCTCGTTTGCTTTTGCTTTTGCCTTTGGCTTCAATTGCCTTTAATTGCTGCTGGCTCAAAAATAAACATTTAAGACACCAGAGTTTCAAACTAAATAAAAAGCTTTTTAGAATCAAGACAATAATAATAACAACAACAAAAACGGGCAGTGCAAAAATTGCTGAATAAAAGTGCCAAAGGGATTTGCTAGTAATTGCTTTTAAATTTAGCAATGGGGTATATTATGGAATACCTACTATTAGAATGGTATTTGCTGAGTAATATTCTTATTTAATATACAATTTAGCACATTAATAAACGGCTGCTAAAGCCCAATCAATTTTGGTTTATTCTCAGAGTTTACTTTCAAGAAATGCACTGCCATTTGTAGGCACATTCGTATTTATATTTAAAGAAATGTATTCCTGCTTCTACCTTAATGATACATAATTCTATTTGTACTTTTATTTCTTAGATTTAATTGAAGAAGCAACCAATTATAATTTCAATGCTGGGCCTTAAATGCTTTCAATCGAACTTTTTCCAGTTTAAATATTTTTAAACAAATCTATATGCATTTTATGATTATAAATCTGTAAGCATAAATTGCAGAAAGTATCGCCGATACTCTTTTGTAGCAAAGAAAAATCCCAAGTGAATTGCCAACCCATCTAAAATATTTTATTTGCAACTCCAAAGAATCCCTGAAGTATTCAAAGCTACGACTCGACTCCCATTTCAGGGCAGCATCGATGACGTGCCTCTTAGTTTGTGGCATCATTATCGTTTATGCACAATCTGAAGTGGCAACTTGTGGCAGACTCAATTTCAACACTGAATGAATCATTATTCTTGAGAGTTGTGTGTGTGGGGGGGAGGGTACGGTACGGTACTTGATACTCTTGACATTGAGATCTGTGCGCGTGGATCGCTTGGATAGCGCAGATCTTGAGCTTGTCTCGCGATTCTGTTTGCATTTTGAAGCTGAATGCAGAACGAACGGCACGGCACGGCCGTCAATGCCACACGAACATGCGGCAGACGTGCGTTGAACCCCACCCGCTCCAACCAACCTACACAACACTCAAAAACGTACAGCAAACAATGCACAGTATGGGTATGGGCATGAGGTATGGGGAAGAAGAGCTATTGAGGTCGTTCAGGCGCCCTTCCCCCGATTCGGTGATCGGTGCTTGGATTGTCGGTGTCTCTTCTATGTGTGTGTGTGTGTGTGTGTGTGTTTGGCATATTAACTAACTTTACCGCTGAATATGGCTATAGTTTTATGGATAGTACGAGTGCGGGTGCGAGAGTACATTTAACTCCAGGAAGCATTTTTACAATCAATTTTTTTTTATCGGATTTGGCAGCAGCTGCAGCAGCAGCAGCAGCAGAAGTCATTTAGGCATATTTCATGTCAAAAAACAATTGCAAAGCTCTCTCTCTCTGTCTCTCTCCCACGCAATTACAACAAATTTATTTAGCCACTCGAGTGACAATTTTTGCAATATTATTTAATTAACTCATTTTGGTTTTGGTTGTGTTTTTTTTTTTTTTTGGTTTTGTTTTGTTTTGTTTTGCTTTGTTAGGGACAATTTTTCGAAGCGCTTCATTTCCGGCTGCGGGCGGGCGCGCTACAAAACTTTTCACACACAAAAACGAATCGAACAAACGATGGCGCTCCAAATTGCCCAGTTACGTTATTAATTGCATGTCTAAAATACAAATACATTGTGCACACACACACACACACCTAATACATATTTACACGTGTGGCATAGCCGTGATAGGCGGGTGGGGGGGGGAGTCCGTCGTCTGTTCTGTGTGTGACACCGAGGCACAAGTTCTGCCTTAGTCCCTGACTAAATTGAGAATAATTAAATACAATTAGCCTGGCGTAACTTTTCGCTCTCTCTCTTTTTTTGGGGGATTTATTTATGCACAATTCAATGGTAAAATTAACTGCTAAAAATAGTTGAACACACCACACACACACGATCTTCCGTTCCGGCAGCAGCAAAACAAAACAAAACAAAACAAATAATAAAATGTGTGACTGAGAAATCTTCAAGTCAAAACAACAGTCAAAAAAAAAAACAAAAAAAAAAAAAGAATCAAAAGCGTAAACTAAATTGATTTAAATAATTATAATTAATTTGGCTTGACAAATGGCTTGGAATTTCGTAATTTTTGTATCCCACAAAAATCTACACACATAAACGAGTAAACAGCGAAAGCGGTCGAGCGGGAAAGAGAGAGAGAGAGAGAGAGAGAAAGAGAGAGTGTGTGGAACCGGGGACCGGGACCGGAGACCCATAAGCGGCGATTCGCGCGAATTTCATTTAATTTACATGTCGTTAATAAAATTAGTAGACAAACAAAAAAAAGAAAGAGAGACCACACACACACACACAGAAACACACAAACACACACAGTCACACACACACACACAGACACTGTTGATACTCTGCACTTTTAATGGGGATTAATCCTCGTTTAGTTTTACCTGTGACTCTCTCTTTTTTGTTGTCTCTGGGAATATCCTGCAATCGGCTCTCCCTTGATGAACTATTTTTGTGTACTTCTTTGGTTTTTTTTTTTACGTCTAGTTAAGCATGGCTGCTCTGCTGCTGCCTGTGTGTTTGCTGGTGGGGGGGGTGTGTGGGGAGGCGGTGGCCGATATCTATTTGCAGTTTTTTAGTTCCAGCCTCTGGCTGGAGCGTATTTTGAGCTTACGGGGAGTGTCTAAACCAGCGGCGTTGAGCTGAACTCAGCGACTACAAATGCCCGCACTCGCATTGGATTTGATGAGTGCCGCCACACAGCCCACAGCCCATAGCACGGTAAAATACGTGCTGCTGCTGCTGCTGCTGCTGCCGCTGCTGGCTCTGCCTCTGTCGCTGCCACTGCCACTGGCACTGGCTACTCTGCCGCTGTCAGCATTGCTTCCACAGAGGTGTCGTCGTTGTCGTTGTCGTTGTATCTGTGTGCCACGATCGGTGCGACGCCAGCGATAAGCACTGGAAACAGCTGGGAACAACAGTAAAGAAATACAACAACAGAAAAAAACATTATTTTTCGACTATAATAGGGCAAAATAAAGTTACAATTGTATCTGTATCTATATCTGTATTCTGTGTGTGTGTGTGTTAGTGTGCAATGTGTCGCGGAAGCCTCAATTAGCCAAAAAACAAAAATTAAAGTTCTCTCCATTATTATTAGCGATTATAATTGAGTAAAACAAACAAACAAACGAAATGTAAAATAATTGAAGGGAAATTTGTGTGCCCATCAAACTCCAACCCGCACCCCCTAATGCGATGGGTTCGTACTGTTGGTAGATCGATCCTAGATCCTAGAACTATTGTTCGGTAGCGCAGATTTTTTTGTAGCCATTTAAACATTTGAGTAGCAGGATATGCAAAGGCAAAGTTGGATTGCTTAGCTGCTCAATGATGCACTGGAATCCCGCCTCAATGGTCTCTCATGGGTGGATACCTACCCCAACATGATGTTACCTGTCACATGATGATGAAACGCATTTCAATGCGTCTGCCAAAGAGCCTCCCAGTCACCACCTGCCTGCAGCCACTGTCTTTGACAGCTGAAGAGGCTTAGATTTATAAAATGTAAAATAAAATTATAAAATAAAACTTCTATTTTAAGTAAGAACGTTATAGATCGCTTATATATAAGCCAAATAATTTTTTTTTTTTTTTACTTTTTTAACAAAAAATATTTTTTTTTTTTTTTTCTCTTTAAATGTCTTTAATGCTAAGTTTGCTTTATTAATTCATGGCTCGTTGCATGGCATCGATTGGAGTTGAACGCCTCTGAAGGGCCCTGACTTACAAAGCCGCAAATGCCGGCAGAGACCGCAACCGGAGACTCGCGCAGCTCAGGGACTGGTAATGTGGTGAGGGGGGGGTGGGGCCTCGGAAGGGCGGTGAAACTCATCTCTGGTCTCTCCGTACCCCGTCATTGCTGGAGTGTAACGAGAGGCCGATTAGCGGGACAGGCATAGCATAACAGGCATAGCTGGCAGCACCAACCCCCCAACCCCCTGTCACTCTACAGCCAGTGCATCTATCTATCTATAATAATATAATAATACTTAGTTATTTGGTAATTTAATGCACGATAATAAATAAATGTGCACATTGTTCTGGGGGAATGAAAAGCGCCAGGTACACGGCTGGGCCTCGTACTGCTGGCTCAGGCAGCTGCCACTTGCCACTCTTAATAGCTACTTACTGGGCTGGGCTGGGCTGGGCTGTGCTGGGCTGTGCTTATGGCTTCGCTACTGAGGGAGAAATTGATGATGGATTTCCAATTGGATGGCACACTGAGAGAAAACAAACAAAACCAACGATCTGTGATACGAAAACGGCAGACTGACAGAGGGATGGCAAAGAATATTTACTAAATATAATTCGAGTTGTTTCTTTTTCATTTCCAACATTTGATTTGTTCTCGTATTAGCGAAGTATATTAAATATAAATATACAAAATTATATGACTATTACTGATCCCAGAGAATTCTTCTAATTTTAATCGCTATATTTTTGCGCTCAGTGCACATTTTCAGCCATTTGCAACTGTTTTCTGTGGCTCTTTTGTAGCATGCTAATTGTGTTTTTTTTTTCTTTTCTTTGATTTTTGTTTCTTTGTGCAATTGCAGTTTTGTTTTAGCATAATTAATGGAAACCTTAGATCGAAAACAGACAATGCAACCCAATGCGGCAACGACAACTGTCAGGGAATCAAGCAGCGGCATTTGGCATTCGGCAGACAGCAAGTGGCAGTTGGCGGGTGGCAGGTGGCAGGTGGAGTGGAGTCTGTTGCAATTACCGCTGCTTCGCAGAGTATCGATAAATCAAGCAACGACTTGGCATATTCGATTGTTAATATGGTAATCGTTGAGCCCTCTGGTCGCGGGTCTCTTTCGACTCGACTCGACTCGACTCGACTCGATTTACCTGAAACGAAACCCCCCCAACTCTGACATAGTTAACCAAGGGGAAACCTGATCTTCGAGGAATATATGTACACACGCTACATAGGATATGTTTTTTGTTTTTTGTTTTGTTTTGTTGGTGACATCATTTCAGCAATGATAGTTTTATTATTTATAAATAGTTTTCACCCATTGAGCATTGAGTGTGCCCAAACAAATGCCATTGCGGCGACACTTTCACTCGATCGACGGCTATGCCGTTGATTAATTGTTGTTATTTGGTTAATTAACCAAATATCATGACAGCTGCGATTTTGCATAATTTTTTGTTGTTTCTTCTTGATTATCAATTTTATTTATTTTTTCGTTTTTTTTTTTTTTGGTTTTTTGTGGCGCTTGTTAGATCGTTAAATAAACAGCAGAAACAGCAAAGCGAAAGGTAAACAAGCAGAAAAAAAAAAAACAAGAAACGATAAAAGCGTATCCCGATAATACAATGTTGCCGAATACCCTTACCTAACTGATTCATTCTGTCTGCTTTGTGCCATAAACATTTGTTCTATACTCGCCAAAGTATTCTCTTTGTGTAAGCTGAGTTTTCCATGGCACAAACAGACTGTTGTTTAAACAGTTTGATCGCTTCCATTTTGTTTGCTCTGGCACATGCACATGCAAATGCCATAAATGTAAGCTGCTTTTCGAATGCCATCCAATGGCATTTCAAAAGTCAACAAAAGTTTTCTTTAAATTCGATTGAGGCAACAAAATATATGGCAGCTCGTTTTCAGCTCTTTCAATTGCTTTTAAAATACTATCTCAGATCCATTTGGAAACCACCCAACGAAGAGCTCCCAAACCAATCCGCTTCCTTTCTTTTAGCAAACAAAAAATGTAGATCTCAGTTATTGGTTTTGTACTTTCTCATCGCTTGTTGGGCTAGCTATCGTTATCTCGGAATTAAATGCAATATTTAATTGCTTAGTTGTCTGCCTATAAGGCATTGATCCCAAATCGATTGTCGCGACGCCAGTGCGAAGCTCTTTCTGGAGCTCTTGGAACAATTAGAGCATCGCATCGCATCACAATCAGAACCTGTGGAGTCAGTATTCAAATGGCATGGCCTGTGATGTTGATAGAAAGCACTAAACAGCATTTGAACACACACTTGATAATGCCATTCAATATACATATACATTTATTTATTGTATATATATTCAACAATTTGTTTATTCACAGCTTTAGATTATTTTGAGGGGATTTTCAATGCTTTTTCTTTGCTTAGAGTAATACTAGAATAATTTTTATCTCATTGCCATTATGTGGCACACACACTATGCCTCAAAGTAGCGTGCAACTCTCTGTTTCGTTAGAGCATTGCCTGTGCCTCGGAACGGGCCAAATCACGTGCCACCAAATGAGCTGTTTAGCTCCGCAGCAGCCCGCGACATCGCCAATTTCCATTATGTATACATATTTAATATATCTTGTTTTTGTTTTGGTTTTTTTTTTATTTTTTTTTTTTTTGGGTTAACTTTTGGCCGAGATGGCAAACTGGCTGCCACGGGGCAGGTGTCAAAAGTTTGTCCAGCGCAACGGAAGACGATGGTCCGAGGGCAGCAGCTATAACGTTCGTGGTCCATGGTCCAAAGCCTCCATGACAATGGATATAACAAGAAATAACAAGTTGTATCTAATTCTGTTCGAGTTTTAATGGCAGTTTGCTGATTCGCCTTCTCCACCGGCTGGGTCTGTGGGTGACTTGGACAAAGAAACAGTGGCACAAAAAATTGCTTGTTTCAACTAAAAAATACCCTTTGCATTTTATAGATAGAAATTGTTGGATTTTCTCAGTTTTAAGGGGCAAAAAATAGCCTACTTTAAATGGCAATGAAAATAATTATACTTCAATTTTGATTGCCATTTCTGAGTGATGCAAACTCGAAGAGTTTTGGTAGATATTTAATATTATTTTATTTAATTAATTTAAGGCTAATAAAAAATATTAAATTTAAAATATGCGAGCAGTAGCTAATGGAGCGTGCAGCTTTGCTGTTCATAGCAACTAATTTTACATTTTTCTAGGAAATGGTAGATTAAATTTATGTTTTCTGGTTTTGTGTGCTTAAAATATTCCGAGTGTTTTTTTTAAAGAATTTAGTACAGACATCTAATAGCTGATCCAATCATTTATGAGCCAGAACATCAGAAAAGTCTGTACCGCTGTACCTTCTGATTTTTTTCTTCGTCATGCAACCCAATATGCCGCATGAACTACATCATTGCATGGTACGCCACTGCTGGAGAAATGAAGTTAAAGCAAACCAAAAAAAAAAAAAATTAGCAACAACAATGAAGACAACAAGCAAATAAGTTAAGCAAAATCACAGCCTGAGCGGACGGACAGACGCTCACGACAACAATCAGAATGGCAGCGCAGCGCCCATGACAGACGATTTTTGTGCCTGAAATTTGTCGAGTCAAAACATTATAAGCTATGTATGTGTATGCAATTAAGTTATATTAAATATAGTATACCCATTAATATGGCAGCGGTAGCGGAGTCAACTCTGTCATTGTCTTTTGAGCGCCGCACGACAGTCAGCCAGCCCCTTCTGCTTGCCTCACGGGCCACTGCAGTAGCACTTTATGGATGTAAAATGGACTCCGAACTGTTACAATCAAGCCATCATATATTGTGTATTTATTACGAAATCTTAACCGAAAGCGAAAGATTAAGATCAAAGCAAACATAAATACTAGCAATAGGCTATCGATGTGCCATCTCCCATCTCCCAGTTGTTTTTATTTTTTTTGATTTCAACCATTATTAAAT